GTCGGAGTCCTCGGCCTTGCCCGCCATCTCGCGGTACAGTGCCATCTGCCACCGCATGGACGAGTTGTTCTCGCACTGGGGACAACGGGGGACACCGTCACCGTGGGGATGGGGTGGGACACGCGGGAACGCGGGCGCCACGATGACCGTGGGGACGTGGGGACCACGAGGAGGTGGTGGGACATGTGGGGACCATGGGGACAGAGGCACCGAGATGACCGTGGGGATGTGGGGACCACGAGGAGGTGGTGGGACACGTGGGGACCATGGGGACACGGGCACCGAGATGACCATGGGGACGTGGGGACCACAGGGGTCATGGGGGGGGACATGGGGACCATGGGGACCGTGATGACCATGGGGACATGGGGACCACAGGGACCATGGGGGGGACGTGAGGACCACGGGGACACAGGCACCGTCATGACCATGGGGACATGGGGACCACGGGGACCATGGAGAGGACATGGGGACCACGGGGATACAGGCACCGTGATGACCATGGGGACACCGTCACCACGGGGAGGTGGTGGGACACGTGGGGACCATGGGGACACGGGCACCGAGATGACCATGGGGACGCCGTCACCACGGGGAGGTGGTGGGACACGTGGGGACCATGGGGACACGGGCACCGCGATGACCGTGGGGACCACGGGGACATGGTGGGACCCATGGGGACCACGAGGGGACACAGCGGGGACCATGAGGACCAGAGGGACACAGGCACTGTGACCACCCCGGGGCCACGGGGACCACGGGGGCCACATGGGGACGGTGGGGCTGGAGGCGCCGTGGGGACACCGGGGGGGTGGGGGGACGCGGTGGGTCACCCCCCTCACCTTGCCCTGCAGGTGCAGGTTGTTGTTGAGGAACTCCCGCACCTCCTCATCCGTGTCCTTCTGCGGGGGGGGGACACAGGACAGGGCCACCTCAGGGGGATGTCCCCAAGCCCGGGGAGATGCCCCCAAGCCCGGGGAGATGTCCCCAAGCCCACCAGCGCGTAGCGGCTCTTGGCCAGGCTGATGAGCTCCTGGTCGGTGGGGGAGCACATGTTGAGGCCGATGGGCAGCATCTTCTTGAGGGTGGCGACGATGAGGGACGTGTGGATGGAGTAGCGGTCCCCGCGACGCTTCTTCTTCGTCCGCTCCTGCTCCGAGCCACCCCCCTGCGGGGACAGGCGCGGGGGGCGTCAGGGCCACCAGCCCGGGGCCGGAGACGTCAGGGGTGGGACCCCCGCGCCACAGGGGTGGGGACATCTGTGTCCTCCGTAAGGATGGGGACATCAACACCGGCATCCCTGTGCCACGGGGACACTTCAAGGCCAAAGGACCACGTGCCACCAGGTTGGGGACATCAGTGTTGGGACCTCCATGCCACAGGGGTGGGGACATCAGCGTCCCCCGTAAGAGTGGGGACATCAGTGTTGGGACCCCCAGACCACAGCGATGGGGACATCAGGGCCACCACCCCAGTGCCACACGGCTCCAGAGGTCCCAGATGTGGCTTTGGGGGTCAGGACCCCAGGATGCCTTTGGGGGTCCCAGTGGTGGTGGCCCCACAGAGCAGGACCTGGAGGAGTCCTGGGGGACACGTCTGTGGTGGCCCCACAGAGGACAACCCTGGAGGGGTTCTGAGGGTCCCAATGTGGTGGCCCCACAGAGCAGGACCTGGTCGGGTCTTGGGGGGCCCATCTGTG